CGCAGGCTCAGGCAATCCACTCACCTCAGCCTCCCAAAGGCGCGGGATTACAGGCTGAGCTACCAAGCCCGGCTAGCAATCTGATTCTTAAATCTCCTTTATAAAGTTCCCAAGTCTGAAAAAATTGCTATCCAAACCTCCAGCATTGAGCAACTCTCTCTCCTTACTTTCCGGTGCAGTTTGTCTCCCTATAGTTTCCACTGATGGGAACCATAAGAATAAATCTAATTGATTTTGAATAAGTGGATCCTATGGCCTCATGGTTACTAAGTCTCATTGGTGTTATCTGAATGCTGATAACAACTATGATAAATACATTTCCTGAGATTCTAACTCCAAATGAACATCCTTCCCTCACTTCCTAGAATTCTTGTACTCACTTTCCTTTACTAGTTTTTCCTTAAATACTATGTATTTAATTAAGCTTTCATGCACTCAGATATAAACTGCACCTAAATGAGATAGATGAGATTTTTTGAAAGAAAAAATTTTTTTACCCATGCTCTTGTGTTTTCTTTTGCTGCTTCAGTTCCACTTCTTCCTCTAGCTGAATGTCTGCTTTCTGTCACAGCCCCTGTTGCCCTTTGATATCAGCCTGGGAGGAGCAGGAACTCTGCCAAACTCCCCTAGTTTTCATAACATTGACCCACTGAGGAAGGTTGATAAGGACTCATGAAGAGCCTATGACAGGACAGATTAGCAGGCCAGGGCCTGGCCTCAGGGAGTGAATGAGGTAGTAATGGGAAAAGTCAGAGGTTTTCAAGTGAGAAGCCAAAGTTAAATTTAGCACTTCTACAGGACTCAGCATCATTTCCATACATGCACCATCAACCCTGGTTGATTTTGTTTACAAAGCTCTATTTTTATTTTAAATTAGGCTGTCCTATACATACTCATTGTGAACAACATTCACCTATTTCATTACCTTAAAAATGGCTTGTTCTATTCTATTTACTTTTATTCTATTCCCTAATTTTTCTCTTTGTTAGACACAAGACTCAGACTAGAAAAATGCTCATAGATTAGGAGCTGGCTATCCCTGGATAAGAGAATCACAGATGATTTTTTAAATTTAATAATGTTTTCCCTTTCTTTTCTTTAACTGTTCTGCATTTTTAAAAAATGTTTTACAATGAGCACGAATTGTTTTTATAATTAAAAACAATTAAATAATGAAAAATAAACAGATGAAAGTCATATCTCATCTGGGGGTGGCAGCTAGACTGGGTTAAGCTTCTTATATTAGGTGAAATAAAGACCAACTTTCCTCCTCCCCCTCCTCCTCCTTCTCCTCTTCCTCCTCCTCTTTCTTCTCCTCCTCCTCCTCCTTTTCCTTCCTCCTATTATTATTATTATTATTATTGAACTTGTAAATGTTACTTTATAAGGAAAAAGGGTCTTTGCAGATGTAATTAAGGATCTTGAATTGGGGAGATGGAGATTATCTTGAATTATCTGCTGGGTCCTAAATCCTATCGAGTGTTTTCCTAAGAGAGAGACAGAGAGAGATTTGAAATACAGGAAAGAAGAGGAAATGCGATCATAGAAGCAGAGATTGGAGTGATATGGCCACAAGCTAAAGAATGCTGGGAGCCACCAGAAGCTGGGAGAGATGAGAAACAGATTTTACCCTGGAGCTTCTGGAGAGAGCATGGCCCTGATGACACTTTAATTCAGATCCAAGTAAGCTGACATTGAACTTCTAGCTGTATAAGAACTGTAGAAGAATACACTGTTGTTTTAAGCGATGGAGTGTGTGGTAATTTGTTGTGGCAACCACAGAAAACGTCTATCCTCTAAATCAAACCAACAAACAACTCTGTGTTTCTGTTCCAATTTATTATAAAATGACATTCTTTTTTTTTTATTTTGAGTTGGCGTCTCACTGTGTCGCCCAGACTGGAGTGCAGTGGCCACTCCCGGCCACTGCAGCCTCGACCTGTTGGGCTCCGGGGATCCTTCTGCCTCAGTCTTCCAATTTTTAAAAAATGTATTTTTAAAATACATTTTTAAAATGGCTAATTTTTAAAAAATGTATTGTAGAGATGAGGTCTCGCCAAGTTGCCCAGGTGGGTCTCGAACCCGCAGGCTCAGGCAATTCACTCACCTCGGCCTCCCAAAGCGCGGGATTACAGGCTAAGCCACGGAGCCTGGCCTAAAATGACATTCTTAATTAAAGGTCTCTAGATATTCCTATTTTTGTTGTTGTTAACGGAGCCTATCGGCCATACAAAATTCCACTTTGCTGGCATTACTCTTTGTACATGTTTGGCTGAATGGAATTTCCAGCATAGGAGACAAAGTGGAGACTATAATATATAATTGTTACAACCACGAAATAATCTCCAAAGGGCTGCTCTCAGCTTCAACTTTAGCTTTCTCATTCATGTCACTTCTGAATCCTCTCACTTTTAGTCCTCCTATCTACCTTAATTCTTAGCCTCACTTTCACACTGAAATTCCTCTGATAGGATTTACTTTTAGAAGGATAAAAATGACCACCATTTACTGAAAACATGCTTACTAGATGCAAGGGACCATGCTGGGAGCGCTGCACACTACACAAAACTGAGATTAAATGGCCAGCAAATAGAAGAGCAAAGGTTCAAAAGCAGGTCTGTCTAATTTAAAGGTTCTTATCCTTTCACTGCCTTTCATGTTTGAGATTCTGGATTGCTTGAGAACCTTCAAAGTCAGGTTTTTCTAAGTACCTCTCCTTTTTCTTCCCAGTCAATAGGAGTAACATCATTTAGGCTGGAGAAGTAGGAACTGGATTACTGTTCCCTTTTTATTCTTCTGCAGTGCATTATGGGATATTAAATCAGGAGACGATGACTGGGCTCTGTGGCTCAGCCTGTAATTCCAAGCATTTTGGGAGGCCGAGGCCAGTGGATTGCCAGAGTCTGGGGGTTCGAGACCCACCTGGGCAACTTGGCGAGACCTCGTCTCTACAATAAATCAAAAAACTAACTGGGCGTGGTAGCGAGTGCCTGTAGTTCCGGCTACTTGGAAGGCTGAGGCGGAAGGATCGCAGGAGCCCAGCAGGTACAAGCTGCAGTGACCGGGAGCATGCCACTGCACTCCACTCTGGGCGACAGAATGAGACTCCAACTCAAAAAAATCAATCAATCAATCAATCAGGAGAAGAAGGAGATAATTTGGAAGATGAGCAATAGAGTTTTCTTTTCCTTCTTCAAATCCCCCTAATTAAGTCCCCTGGATGTGAATAAGTAGGTTGTTAGCCCAGGGAGAAACTCACATCTTGGCTTTGCTATCTCTTAATCAAATGTTCCTGATACAAAACAACTTGAAATCAGTAGCTTGGACAGTGCTCTTTCCTACATCTTGAGAAAGTTATATAGCCATATTGTTGATGATTGGCTAAGAACCAGAACCCCCAATTTATTTATTTTATATTTTTTTAGTAGGTGTCTCACTCTGTCGCCCAGGCTGGAGTGCAGTGGCACACTCATGGTCACCGCAGCCTCAAGACCTGCTGGGCTCAGGTGGTTCTTCCACCTCAGCCTTCCAAATACCGGCGTGTGCCACCACGCCCGGCTAATTTTTTGACTTATTGTGGAATACGAGGTCTCACCAGGTTGCCCAGGCTGGTCTCCAACCCCTGGGCTCAGGCAGTTCTCTCGCCTCCACCTTCAAAAGTGCTGGGATTACAGGCCTGAGCCACCCCGCCTGGTCAGGTATTGTTCTTAACAAAGTCTTGACCTGTCTTTCTAATCTCCTGCCACCCCCATTTCTTTAACACTAACACTGGTCCTCAGACTTTGGTGTGAATTAGAATCATCCCTGTGACGCTTATTTAAAACATACATGCTTGGTCTCGAACCTTAGAATATGATTCAGCTGGTCTGGGTTGTATCCCAGGCAGTTTTTGGTTTTTGGTGTTTGCTTTTTACATAGGATGACATTTGTATTGCTAACAGATTCCTTCCGGTGCTTCTAACTCACCGAATTTCAAGAAGCCCTGCACCAGCTGTATCAACTTTACTTAATTTTAGCAAACTCCCTCTCCCAGAGTCTCGTGATTCTCAAAGTTACCCTTTCTTCAAAACCCAGCTGAAATGCCACCTCTCCCAAGAAGTTTTTCCTGCTCTTCTCCGTACTATTTTTTTTCTTTCTTTCCTTAGGGCACTTTTTGCTTATTTGATAAGTGTCCAAGCGCTTTGAGCGTGCCCCACAGACAGGGAGAGACACCTTCATCTGCAAGTCCATCCCAGTCCCTAGCCCTCAGGCGGAAATCTGAGACAAGCTATAATTAATACTGTGCGATGACTGTCTGCAGCAAGAGTTCTGCCCGCAAGGCCGGGAACACACGCACACCACCACGATCTCGCCTCAGATGCCCATCCCCAGTTGTGAAACAAGGCCCAGACAAAACTACTCTAAGAGTCGCCCCGAAGTCCTAGGGCGGGGAACTGCGAAGAAAATAAGACAAAATAAAGAATTGCTCAGAGCCTGGAAAGCTAACGGCCTCTCAAGAAACAGTGCGCGATGCAAAGAAGCGACAGAGAGGCGTCCGCCATCCCGTCCGCTCCACCCCTGACGTGAGCCTCGGCATCCGATTGGTTGCTTCTGGCACTCGCCCCGCCTCAAGTCCGCGCACGTGATCCGCTGGCCGCTGCGGGATTGGTTGCCGGCGAAGGCCGCGCTGCACTGTGGGAGGCAAGCCGGCCGGCGGTGAGGAGGAGGAGTGGAACGCAGGACCCCAGTGAGATGGCGGGAAGCGGGAATCAGGTGCCGCTGGCACCGAAGGCCAAAGAGGTCAACTGCCGGCATCCTCCGAAGGCCGGAACAGGCTCCCTGAGAGAGTGCAGGGCGTCGTAGTTTTAGGAGTTAAGGAAGCCGGCTGCGGTCATCTGCCTGGGTGTTTGGTTTGAGCCTTGGGGCCGGCCCCACTCGTGTTTCCCCGCAAGGACTTTAGTCTTTCTTGGAGTACATGGGGTTTGGACCGTATCGTTATTATTATTATTTAGAGGGTCTACTGTGTGTGAGCATTGGTTGTTCTGGGCAGGGAACGCGCCATGAGATGGAGGCTTGGGGGAATGAGTGCTCAGAAGTGCTTGAGATATGTTCTTAATCTTCGTGAAATGTTGGAGGTAAGTGGGCTTTATAAGTTGTGCTGTTGCTTTTACGATCTATGCGCTTGGGTTTTAGGGAGGATCGCTCGTTGAATTAAACGCCCATTTATTGAACCTCGTCCTATGTAACCAGGCATCATTCTGAGTGCTGGGCTACAAAGGCCAGTAAAACACAGTCCTGATTCTAGAGGAACTCAGAAAACGTGAATAGTCGGCATGTGATGAGTGCTGTGGAGGAAGAAAGTGCTGTAGGAGTCAGAGGAGGGGACGATTGAAAGAGTTAGGGAGCCGGGCTCGGTGGCTCAGCCTGTAATCCCGCGCCTTTGGGAGGCTGAGGTGAGTGGATTGCCTGAGCCCGCGGGTTCGAGA